AGCAGGGAGCCCGATGCGGGGCTCGATCCCAGGACCCTGGGATCATGACCTGAGCCGAAGGCAGTCGCTCAACCGACTGAGCCACCCAGGCGCCCTTCCAGATGGATTCTTATTGTCCAGACACTTGGGTAAATTTGTACTGGCTTCTGATGAATGCAAATTTTTAAAGTTTTGGAAGAAGTTTGAGGACTAGACAGATTACTTGCTGGTGCCTAGGATAGCACGTAATACACGGAAGAAAACATCATGGGGAATGCCAATAATTTCATTAGCCAGCAAAACGTTGAATGGAATCCTTCAGAATATGTGGCTGCCTGAGGCTTTACAGGGAATTTTTTTAAAAAACAGCATGAATTAAAATGAGATAATTAGTGTGTACTTAATAAATGTGGATATGTTTTATCTACATAATTTTATGAAGGTCCTTTTAATATAATAAGTTATTTAAGAGATTTTCAAATTAGTATCTACAAACCAGATAATTTAATTATATGGTTGAAACTTCTATAATAATAGCAGCAGTCAATAGCATCTATATTTGTTTATTAAAATACCTGTTTAACTTGGCCAGTGGGACATTGAAACCAACGTTTAGCTATGTGATAAGAATTCTGTGTGATAGAATTCTATTTTCAAGGGTAGATCCATGATACAGAAGAGAACACTTTTTTCCTTTATAGGAAGTGCATCAGATTATTTTTCCGAAAACTCAAAGCTAAAGTGCAACGTTTGGAAGGTGCATCTTTTAAAGGATATGTTTTCTTGTTTGTATGTTGGGAGAGATTTTTAGTAGAGCCCTACTAAACACTGCCATGGTTTATTATTATCCAGATCCCTGCACGGCATATGTTGAATCATGGCTCACATCAGTAATTACACCCTTGTCAAATCTTGCATACTGTAACCTAGTCACTGACTAGCTGGGAATCAGTATTGTCCTTGAGTGTCAGTTTTATAAAGGAATCCCACTGAATGCATATGACACAGTAAATAGCATTTGAAGTGGTAACGTTACGTGGTAATGAAAATAGGTCTTTGAAGTTTGGGCCTTCATTTATTTTCCCTTTCATTTTAGGCACTTTATAATCAGTATTTACAGTTTAAAGAAACAGAAATTCCACCAAAAGAGACAGAAAAATCAAAAATTAAACGCCTATATAAGTTACTAGAGGTAAGCAGAAATTTCCTTTGTATTGTCAAGCATAATCCTTATTTTTTTTTATATCCTTGCTTCATATTAAATTTTTTTGTTTTCTCAAGATTTGGATAGAATTTGGACGTATCAAACTACTGCAAGGTTATCATCCAAATGACATAGAGAAAGAGTGGGGAAAACTCATTATTGCCATGCTTGAGAGGGAGAAGGCACTTCGCCCAGAAGTAGAAAGGTAGGCTGGAGGTGTTTTCTGCTGTGGATATCAGGCTGGGCGTGGGGAGGTGACTCTTTGTTCTCATGGAAGGAACTTAAGTTTTGGAGCCAGGCAGACCTTGGACCAACATTTATTTTTTTCTTGTCCTAGGCTGTGTGACCCTGGATAAGTCACTTAGTCTTTCTGATTCTTCATTTTCTTATCTAGAAACTCTTCCAAGAGATTTGAGGAGTAATCAGTGAAGTAATGTTTAAATAGGGACCTGATAGGCTGGGTTGGTGTGCGAAGTCTCATCTAATAATCTAAATTACCTGTGAGAATTTCCCATGCTGGCTTCTAAATCATCAGGGCCTGGATCCAGAAGCTGATATGTAGGTCAACAGTTAACTTATTTTGTTTCTTGCTGTATTTTTGCTCTGGCCCTCTTTCCATGGGGCAATGGAAACAAGAGTCTAGTCTGTCTCCACTTAGAGGGCAGTGAAGTGGCATCTAGAAAACACTCAGGAAATGGTTCAAATTCCGACTTCTACAAATGCATTTATTCCATGAAATCATCACTGACTCTATCATTCTCTCTCCCACTACACCCAGTTGCCTGGGAAAGCACTGCTTAGTCGTTAGGAGACATTTGTTGAATGGATTTGTCTCCATTACAGTACTTACCTCACAGCCTGACTTTGGCACTTGGGAAGGGAATTGTGATCTCTGTTCCTCATGAGCTGTGAGCTCCCTAGGAGCTGGGCCTCCCACGACAAGGCCTGTGTGTGCAGGAGTGCCTCTCTGGCCGCCTCACTCACACCGTCCTTGCTCTCTGTGGTGTAGCCGCACTGACTGTCTCTCAGGAGCCCTAATGTGCCAAGGTCCCGCCCTCCTCCATACACAGGATCTGTGCACCATCTGTTCCTTTGGTAGGGAAGTCTCCTTCACCCTCCCTGTCTCTCTTCACTCCTGATGAATCTCAGATCCCGGCTCCAGTGTTACTTCCTCAAGAAACTTCCTGTGGTCTCCCAGCCTGGTTCAGATGTCTTGGTTATAACTCGCCTATTTACATGTATTGTTCCTTCATACCTCAGTTGTAATTTTATATGTATTTCTGTGATCGTTTGATTAAGGGCTGCCTGTTCACAGTTACGAGTTCCAAGAAGGTGGAGACAGACTTGTTTTTTCTGTCTTTCGTGTTGCCAGTGCTCAGTGCCGTGCCTGCGACACACAGAGGCACTTGGTATACTCGTGTTCTTTGTGCTCCACACATGACTTTCCACACTGTTGAAATAGGAAATAGTGCATTGAAGATGCGAGAGCAAGTCTTAACTTGTCAGTCGTTTATTAATTACTGATTATATTCCTGTTAAAGTGTAATATTCTATCTGCATAACTGGATTTAGATCCAAAATGAGCTTGAAATAGCCAGGATGGACCTTTTTTGGAGGAGATAATTTTGGGTGATTAAAATTACATGCTAAGCTAATCATGAGAAGTAATGGAAAAGTATGTCTGAGAAAGGATAGGGAGTAGAATTTTGTCAGAATAGTAGCTGGATTTTAATGGAGTGGTCAAGAGTTCAAGGTCCAGGAGCTAGTCAATCCTGGATTAGATTTTTAGCTCAACTTGCAAGTCATGTAATCTTCGACAAGTTCGTGACCTCCCTCAGCCTCAGTTTCCTCATTTGTAAACAGACTGTAATAGTACCTACCACTCTTGCTGGTTGAGTATGAGATGAGGTCATGCATGTAAAATGATCAGTTTATTTCCTGGCACATAATAATTGCTTAGTAAGTGCTAGTGCTGCTGTTATTATTTCATGCTTCTCTGGTTACTAACTGTATTTTACAGGATACTCTCAAATTTCCCCTTTCCTGCCATCTGAAAAGAAAAATATCTACCTTTAGAGTGGAGAAGCCATAGTTTGGCTCTGTAGTTTTGGGAGTATGAAAATGTTCTACAAGCTTGGTTGGATAAATGCCTTCATTTTTCTTGACGCAACAAGCTTTTTGGCAGTAACGGTTAATTGCAAATAATAACTATGTGGCATGGGAATGTATAAAAGATAAATGAGAAAGAACCAATGTTCTTTTGCCATGTAATAACCTATCGAAAGGAAAAACAAGCACAGACAAGTTGAATTTGCAAGCTTTGCATTGATATTCTACTTAGCACTTCGGCTTTTAAAAAATATAAAGTGACTATAGTAAGATTAGGGGTAACATTCCTGAGAACATGTCATATAAAGAAAGGCCAATGGCTGCTTTTCCAGTTAACTTAACCTGATAAATGACACGGCGGTTAAAATGGAAATGAACTTTGTTTCTCATGAAACTTGTTTGTTTATAGGTGCTTCTAAGTACCAGTTTTTAGCCTTGTGTTACTCAGGACAGACCTGGCCCTTTACAAAAGTCAGGCTGTGATTGAATATTTGTGTTTTTAAGCTGATGATTGGTATTGCCTCAACAGCCTTTACTAATTGTACCTGGGCTTCAGGGAGGCATCTGAGTTGTTTTTTGGGTGGCTGCAATGGGATGACTCTTGATGAAAATATTTGGCAAATCTTTTCCAGTGACGCCCTGATCAGCCTGCCTTGTCTGTACTTGTAGAGGTTTAATGCGGGCTACAAAAGGCAAACCTCAGCTAGCAAACGCATGGCTTTAGGCGAGATTCTTTTGAATGGTTATCAGCATATTATTTGCTGCGTGTTAAGTATGCAGGTTGGAGCATATTTAAGGAGCCATTAGGGCTGTGACATTTAGCTGCCGCTTTTCACCGTTAGAAGTAAAACTTTTAGCAGACCTACTTTTTCGTCTGCTTGGAATGGTCAAAGAAGGAACATCATTTCAGGACTAAAAATGCACAGTAGTAGTTACAGCTACCGAAGCAGCGATTCTGTGTTTAGTAACACTACTAGCACCCAGACCAGTCTGGATTCAAATGAAAACTTTCTCTCAGTTAATTGTGGTCCAACGCTGATCAACTCCTGCATTAGCTTCGGCAATGAGTCCCTTGATGGACACAGGTATTGAGTCCTTGTTGTAGGATTGTTTTACTTTTTGGGGGGGAGGCATTTTTCAGGGGTGGTAAATTCTGTGACTTCAAAGGGAGAGGCTTTCATTTATTCTGTCTCTTCTTTTAGGTTGGAAATGTTGCAGCAGATTGCCCACCGAGTTCAAAGGGACAGTGTCATCTGTGAAGACAAACTGATACTTGCCCGAAATGCTCTCCAGTCTGTAAGTTAATTTTAGGAGCCATTGGGATTGTGGTGGAGGGGTCTGTACCTTTGGATGAACTAAAACTTTTGTATAACATTTGGTTGATTGTTGGTATTGTCTTCTACTGATACTTAAAGCTCGTTAAAGATTATGATCACCGTTTGCTCTCTTGAACAGTGCGCAAAGAGAAAACATATTTTTGAACCAAAAGGGAAAACAGAGAAGACCCAAGTAGCTTTGCAGTCCAGTATTTTGAGTTTTATATTTGAGGCTAGTTTTGAAACTTGTTTCTTGGAATTAATGTTGAGTTCTTTTAAAACACAGGATTCTAAAAGATTAGAATCAGGAGTGCAGTTTCAGAATGAAGCAGAAATTGCCGGGTATATACTTGAATGTGAGAACCTTTTACGCCAGCATGTAATTGATGTACAGATTCTCATTGATGGAAAGTACTACCAGGCAGATCAGTTGGTACAGAGGTAAGATTCCTGCTTATTCATATTCTGTCCTTCTGGGGAATTGCTTCATGGACACTTGTGATGGGAATGTAGAGTGTGGCAGTTTTATGAAATGTATTTCTTATGCTCTTTTCTGTTGAAAATGTGTATCACCTTCATTCTGATATATTTTGATATGTTAAATAGGTATTTTTTTCTTTGAAGATAAGTAATAGGAAAAATATTTTATAGTACATACAATATTTAATAATGTAGTAACTAACATACTTCAAGTTAAAATACTTGTATGACATTTGAAAAAGGGAAAATATAAGGAAAGTATCCTTTATAACTCAATTTTTAAGTATTCTATTTATCCTATCATGGAAGTGTTTATGACAAAATGTTGGAAAAAAAATATATGACTTCTATCTCTGAGAAGTGGGTTTGGGGGTAGGGATGGAACCTTTACAGGTTGTAGACTATATATATTATAAAAATATATATGAGATATATAAAGCAAAAATTGTAAATGATGCTTTGATGTAGTAATTTCACTTTTAGGAATTTATAATTTTAAATATAGAAAATATATAAATAAATATAGAAAAAAGCTTTTTGTTCATGTCAGAGATATTTTATAATACCAAAATTTGGAAATATCCTACATGTCAAACAATAGGATAATGATCACATTATAGTGTAGTAATTATGTTCATTATAAGTGATAGTTATAAAGACTTTTGATAGTCTGGAAAGTGCTTAAAGTACAAAGTTCAGTGAAAAGAATTGTGATGCAAAATTTTATTAATATGATTATAGTGACTTTTTTTAGTAGACTACTTTTTTGAACAGTTCAGGTTTACATAAAAATTGATAGGAAAATACAGAGTTCCCATATGCCCCCTTTTGGCCCCCTTCCCCAGTTACCAACAATCTTGCATTAGTATGATCCATTTGTTACCACTGTTGAGCCAATATTGATACATTACTGTTAACTAACTAATGTCCATAGTTGGCATTAAGGTTCACTCTTTGTGAAAAATGCCTTTTATATTATAGTTTATTCCTTTTGATTTTCTTTTCAGGGTTGCAAAGCTGCGTGATGAAATTATGGCCTTAAGGAATGAATGTTCCTCCGTGTACAGCAAAGGACGCATGCTGACAGCAGAACAGACGAAACTTATGATATCAGGAATTACTCAAAGTTTAAACTCAGGATTTGCACAGACCTTAAACCCCAGTCTGAACTCAGGGCTGACCCAGGGTTTAACGCCTTCCCTGACCCCTTCTAGTGTGACCTCAGGCCTGTCATCAGGTCTGACTTCCCGCCTGACTCCATCTGTCACTCCGGCTTATACACCTGGTTTCCCATCAGGGGGATTAGTTCCAAGTTTCAGCTCAGGAGTAGAGACTAATTCATTGCAAACTCTGAAGTTGATGCAGATCCGAAAGCCCCTTCTGAAGTCTTCTTTGCTGGATCAGAATTTAACAGAAGAGGAAATCAACATGAAATTTGTTCAGGATCTTTTGAATTGGGTTGATGAGATGCAGGTAAAAGAGTGTTTATTCTTCCTGAAAGTTTCAGTCTTTATTGCTGTTTGTTTGTTTTTTTTAACTCTAGTAACTTTCTGTTTAAAGGTGCAGCTGGACCGCACTGAGTGGGGATCAGATTTGCCAAGTGTTGAAAGCCATTTAGAAAATCATAAAAATGTTCACCGAGCTATTGAAGAATTTGAATCTAGCCTTAAAGAAGCTAAAATCAGTGAGGTATATGAATTTAAAATCTGTATGTATTTCATTTTAGCTTGCTGTTGTTTTGCTCTTTTTAAATAAAGACTCTGTAACAGAATAATAGATGGAGTGAGTATGAGTCAGAATTCCTTAAAATCCCTAACCTCGATGTCTTTTTATCCCATATTATAGATTCAAATGACAGCACCTCTGAAATTAACTTATGCCGAAAAGTTACACCGATTAGAGAGTCAGTATGCAAAACTCTTGGTAAGGTTTTTTTTAACTTTTATTAGGAATTTCCCTTATCTCTATATGGTCAAGACATGATTCTTATAATGATTTTTCTTACAAAGAATACATCCCGGAATCAGGAACGGAACCTTGATACACTCCATAATTTTGTAACTCGTGCAACTAATGAACTTATTTGGTTGAATGAAAAAGAAGAGGAGGAAGTCGCTTATGACTGGAGCGAAAGAAATACCAACATAGCTCGGAAAAAAGATTACCACGCTGTATGTACAGCCTTTGTCCTTGAATGCCAAAGTCGCGTCTCAGGTTTAGGTCTATTTCCTAACCTTGCTGCTTCATTCTTTCTTACATTAGGAATTAATGAGAGAACTAGATCAAAAGGAAGAAAATATTAAGTCAGTTCAGGAGATTGCAGAGCAGCTACTTTTGGAAAATCATCCAGCCCGACTGACAATCGAGGTAAGTCAGAAAGTGTAACTGTTGGGGCGCCTGAGTGGCTCAGTCAGTTAAGCGGCTGCCTTCGGCTCAGGTCATAATCCCAGAGTCCTGGGATCGAGCCCCACGTCGGGTTCCTTCCTCAGCGGGGAGCCTGCCTCTTCCTCTCCCTCTGCCTACCACTCCCCCTGCTTGTGCTCTCCCTCTATCTCTATCAAATAAATAAATAAAATCTTTAAAAAAAACAAAAACAACAACAACAACGAAAAAGAAAGTGTAACTGTCATGGTTGAATATTGACAGGTGATGATTACTCTTCAGATTCTTTTATTGCTGATAAATTGAAAAATACAAACAAACTTTTATTACAGCATGGCTCAAAAGTAATGTTTCTGACAAATCATTGTGATTCTTACCTTTAACTCTCTTGCTTTCTCTAAGTGTGTCACCCAGCCATCACTTCCAATAAAGGTACCTTTGTCAACTACCATGGCTGAAGAGATGTATTACAGTAAATATGAAGGATCTTGACTTCACAAATTTTAATTTACTCATTTTTTCCTGACTGTGATATTGTGCAAGTGACGTAACCTACTTGCCTCCCTCACCTGTCCAAAATGGGGGCGATCCTTCTAACCCATAGAGCTGTGTTAAGTATGGGATGAATAACATACTCTTACTTAGTACAGTTCTTGGTACATATATTCCCAGGAAGTATTTCTTATTATTACTTAATAATTTTATTTATGGCTGGTTTTGCAAGGTGTACTGAAACAACAACCTGGCCAAGCCTCATGGCATAGTGCATACATTTCGAATCCAGAAGTGGAGAATTGGTGTGGATTTATCAGGTTTCCCATGCGGTAGTGGTAGTCTGTTTACTCTTTAGTCCTATTATGTACTAGTTAGAGTTAGTGACTTTCTAAACATAAAGGGGCTTATATAGGAGCGAGAGGAGCATCAAACATGGAGAAATATGGTAGATTGCCAGAGGGAACAAAGGGAGCTGTGCTTAAAATGCGACATGCTTCAAACTCTCACAGTTGAGGAGAGGCATCTGATAGTCTTTGTTCACTGAAACTGTCACAGTACAAAAAAAAAAAAAGAAAAAGAAATTGGCACAGTACAAAAGATGAGTAAAATTCTAGACCTCAATAGGGTTGTGGGAGTGTTGTATTTGACCTTCTTCATATAAAAATGTAATCTTGCATGCCTATTGAAATGCCATATAGGAAGTTAAAGACACAGAAGAGTAGGGGGAACAGTAGGGAAAGCAAATTAGAATACTGAAGGGTCTGGATACTCTTGTATGATGATAAACTAAAAATAGAGTATTCTTCAAGGTGGAGATGAAAACTGTTAGGGAATATGATTCTCTAACAGGCTAAGAATTTTAATGGGACTGGGTAATGTGAATGTGAACCTGATTTCTTTTATGTAGAGATGTTAATCTAATTAACTAAAAGTTTCTTGAGGGATAAAATTAAGCGTGAGTCATCTTTATGATTCCATTGGCCTATCCAGTGTCTTGTGGGTACGTGGATAATATTTAGTTAATTATCAACACTATTTCATATGTTATATGAAAAAAGAAACTAATAATCTAACAACGCACAATGATATGTCTTTTATAGCCAATTTGCTGGAAGTAGCTTAATTTGAGGGCACAGTTAATAAGACCATGATATGTTGCCAGATTTCCAGTGCTGCATTGTAAATTCCATTCAGAAAGCCTGCCTGAGCAGGAGCTCTGCAGCAGTGAGTTTTTCCGAAAGGGGAAGAATGACAGGCTTACTTGTGATAGTCATTAAAGCATCTAGATCGCCCTCTTCTGGAAGTCAGTGAATTGCATCTTAAATATAAAAGTGTGTTTTTATGTTTTCTTTAGAAAGTAGATGTTCTTTGTGTTATGTTTTTGCTCTCATGAGAGATTTACTTTGTATTAAAAATTCAAGTAAAAATATTTTAAACAAAAATTCTTAGTATTATGATAATAACAGTTCCAGAATTACAGTGATAAGGGATTGCACTCTCTCTTCTCCTCTCTCCCCAAACCTTCCCCTGGCAAAAACAAACATGTAAGTCATCCCCCTCCCCCCAAGAATTTCTAGTTTTGTTTCTAGTTTTAGAAACAAAAATGAAGAGGAAACTACAGAACCATTTATTTCGGTCTGTATTTTTACATTTTTATTTTTATTTGTAATTTATATTTAAATTTTTAGGACTGGTTTTGTGCCAGTAAGGACTCTTACATCAGAGGGGCATTTCACTACCCTAATTTTCACGTCTTACTCTGTTACATCGTCTGTTTTGACAGCAGAGTTTTTAAGCCTTTAAAAGCTTTGCTGTGTATGTACATCATCACTCTTCAGCTGGTTAGAGTGGCTGTGTTTAATCTTGAAGGCCTACCGAGCGGCGATGCAGACGCAGTGGAGCTGGGTCCTACAGCTGTGCGAGTGTGTGGAGCAGCACATAAAGGAAAACACCGCCTATTTCGAGGTGCGTGAATGGAATCGCGTCAGGTGCTGGTATTGTGAGTTTGCCTACTTACAGAAGGCATCGTCATGTTTAGTAAGGACATGTATGTAAAGTGCGGGGGAAATAAACTGAAATATTTTCTTCATAGGATATATGGGACATAGGCCCTCTAGGATTGATTGAAGCAATCTATTCAGGAGGAAATCCTTTAGAAACCTTTAAAAATGTCAGAAAAATCTTGATTTTGTAAATGTCTTTTATAAAGAAACGTTTCATTACAGAGAGCTCTTTTTTTATTTTTCAGAAGTTTTAAAATATTCTTGTAATTTCTCTACTATTTAAAAATTATTCAGACCCTCAAGTAAAACAGAACTTTGGCCAAAGTATTATAGGGCCAAAACACAATATAAATACAAACTTTAGGCACTTAGTGTTTACTGATAATCATACAAATTCAAGAGTTGTTTGGGTAAAGGAGTGATGTGACTATTAAGTGGTCTTGTGATTTTATTCTCTTCTCACTTACAAGGGATCCCCAGGGCTCTGGTACTCCGACTTGACAACTCTCTGCTTTACTGGCATTTGATATACTCTAACTGCCAGTTTTCATCTTTTTATAGTTTTTCAATGATGCCAAAGAAGCTACTGATTACTTAAGGAATCTAAAGGATGCCATTCAGCGGAAGTACAGCTGTGATCGATCAAGCAGCATTCACAAGCTGGAAGACCTTGTTCAGGAGTCAATGGTAGTAGTACAGAAACCTGTGCATTTCATCAGCTATGTATAATCAGGATTAGATTAGTAGTTCATCATAGTTTTATTTGTACAGAACTTTATATTTTATTGGTATTCTTGATATATCCATCTCATTCGATCAAGCATTCAGTTTTAGTATTTTTTGGTAACAAGTACAACAAAAGTGTTTTTTATGTGATTGCCTCAATATTTTAAGTAAGTATTTTGAGAGTGATAGGTGTGTGTGTGTGTGTGTGTGTGTGTGTGTGTTTAGTCACTCACTTCCCAAATAACTGTAAGCACTTTTTATATCCTAGACATTCTTTTAAGTACTGGAGATAGAGCAGTGAGGAAAACAGACAAGAATCCTTATCCTCCTGGTGCTTACACGCTAATGGGGGGAGCAGAAAATAAACACGATAAATAAGTAAAATATGTAGGATAGTGGTAAATGCTAAAGAGGAAAACAAACAAAACAAGGGAGGAGAGATGCAAGAGGTGGTGGAGGGGGATTGAATGTTTAGGCGGTCAGGGGAGACTTTTGTGATGAAATTTTATTTGTGTAAAGCCCTAAAAGAAGAGAGAGCACAAGTCTTTTACTTTTTAAAATCTGTCTTATTTATTTCTTAGGAAGAGAAAGAAGAACTTTTGCAGTATAAAAGCACAGTAGCAAGCCTGATGGGGAGAGCAAAAACAATAATTCAGCTGAAGCCAAGGAATCCTGACTGTCCACTCAAAACTTCTATTCCGATCAAAGCTATCTGTGACTACAGACAAATTGAGGTATTCTAGAAATAGACCAGTTTCTGGCATTATTCTTATCTTTTAAAAATGAGGTCATATTGCTGACCAGTGGTAAAGTTTTGTACCTCAAAAAAATAAAACAAAATCCCAAAATTGTGTATGGTAAAGGATTAGTCAACAGTGATCTCATTTGGTTATTCTTTTCTTCGTTTAAAACCAGATAACCATTTACAAAGACGATGAATGTGTTTTGGCCAACAACTCTCATCGTGCTAAATGGAAGGTCATTAGCCCTACTGGGAATGAGGCTATGGTCCCATCTGTGTGCTTCACAGTTCCTCCACCAAACAAAGAAGCGGTAGACTTTGCAAACAGGTTTGTATGCATTCGCTGAACACACAGAGCTGAGTTTGGAGGCTCTCTGAAGGTTAAAGAAACAATCCGTACTTTGTCAAGGCCCATAGGATCAGAAGGATCTAGAACTAGTAAACATGGGATAGTTTACAAACAGGAAGAAAAATTATAGCATGTTTTCAGAGGGAGTAAAAAGGCTTAATCAAGTGTTCGGTTTGTTTGCTTTTTTCATGTATTTCAGAATTGAGCAACAGTATCAGAATGTCCTGACTCTTTGGCATGAGTCTCACATAAACATGAAGAGTGTCGTGTCCTGGCATTATCTCATCAATGAAATTGACAGAATTCGAGCTAGCAGTGTGGCTTCAGTAAGTATGAATCTACACATCAGCCTAATCTGTCCAAAAATGTGGGGCACACTGTCATGAGGGGTGGAGTTTGTATTTGTTCCAGAATGGGATGGAGTCCAGCAGATCCATGCTAATATTCATCCATTTAATAAATATAATAATAAATAGACCTGCTACATACAAGGCACTTTCCAAGAATGGGGGAAATCTGGAGATCACGTATTTCATTCAGTGCTTATTACATGTTGGTAGGGAGACAGGATATAGTGTTTGGACTTATGGGGACGGATATAGTTTGATTTCATTTTTTGATGTTTTATAGCCTGTTTTTCCTTATCTGTTAAAACTTGTAATTGTTAATAAAAAATAACAATTTCAAATGGTTCTTCTATTTATGACTATTAATATGAACTGACATACACCAGAAGACCCTAACTTAAAATCTGTCCCATTTACATTTAGCTGTTAGTACTAAATCACTTGCTTACATGGATCATTGGTCTTCTTTAGATAAAGACAATGTTACCTGGTGAACATCAGCAAGTTCTGAGTAACCTACAATCTCGTTTTGAAGATTTCCTGGAAGATAGCCAGGAATCCCAAATATTCTCGGGCTCAGATATAACACAACTGGAGAAGGAGGTTAATGTATGTAAGCAGTATTATCAAGAACTTCTTAAATCAGCAGAAAGAGGTAAAGCATGGGAATCCTTGTATTTTTTTCCCCATAGGTGTTTAGTCTAGGCTCTTTTCTGCTCAGTGGGAATCAGTCTTCTGTATGTTATGTCACTCAGCCTATGATAGGTGAACACAGGTGCTAGAACATTAAAAGCATTTGTGAGGTAGGAAGCTGCAAGGAGGGATTCATTTATTTCTAAATGATCAGTTAATAAAAAGATGCCATCCAAGTAACGTGATAAGCATTGAATTCTTAACACATCTACTTTTCAGCATTTTCACTGTTTTGTGATGTAATGTTCAGAATGATCTTTTAGTTTTTGAAAAGATTCAGTTATTTTTCCATGTACCAAACCTGGATTTTTTTTTTAATACTTGATTTTTTTAGAGCAGTTTTAGATTCATAGCAAAATTGAGAGGAAGGCACAGAGATTTCCCATGACCAAACCTGGATTTTATACAGAGGTTAAAGGAGAAGATTTTGTCTAGTTAACTTTTGTTAAATATAAAGTTTCTTCTGGACACTTTTGATATTACTTAGAGACAAAAAATATCATTAGTAATCTATTTAAAAAAATTTTAAACATTAACAAATGCTTTACCTACCTCTCCTTTTTAAGGATTTTTTTTTTATTTTAAAGATTAATCTGTAGCCATGTAATTCACATTTTTGTGAACATAAAACCACATAATATATTACTTTCCTTGGACATCATAAATCAGAATTTGGCACTTAGAATAGCACTAGGGAAATTTTATTAATCGTTCATAAATTGTAAGGTCGACTATTTTAAGGTTCATGTCCTTAGGGTGAGATTGTCCTTAGTTTGACCAGCAGCATCCAGAAGACAGAAAACAAAGTGTTTTCTAAACATTATATTTACTTTCACAGAAGAGCAAGAGGAATCCGTGTATAATCTCTACATCTCTGAAGTTCGAAACATTAGACTTCGGTTAGAGAGTTGTGAAGATCGGTTGATTAGACAGATTCGCACTCCGCTGGAAAGAGATGATTTGCATGAAAGTGTGTTCAGAATCACGGAGCAGGAGGTGAGATTTGTAAAAGTGTTGGGACAGAATTAACTGAAGGTAAATTACTCTCTCAGTGACCTTCATAGTTAAATCCAGTCACTTCCCATGTGCTCAGCTTTGCCCACTGGGCACTTTGTGAGTTCTGATTATGTATTTATTGCTTATCATGAACTAGAATTCTATAATTCAGTTCTACCTTTGACTCAGGTAAACGCAGAAACGTGCACCCTTTCACCCACTATGATGGAGACTCTTGGGGTTTCTTTTTTTTTTTTTTTTTTAAAGTTTTTATTTATTTATTTGAGAGAGAGAGAATGAGAGACAGAGAACATGAGAGGGGTGAGGGTCAGAGGGAGAAGCAGACTCCCTGCCGAGCAGGGAGCCCGATGCGGGACTCGATCCTGGGACTCCAGGACCATGACCTGAGCCGAAGGCAGTCGCTTAACCAACTGAGCCACCCAGGCGCCCCTCTTGGGGTTTCTCATAGTGAAAGTCATTACATGTTTGTTGATCACCTGCTGAATGCAGAAACACTAAGTTAGATGTTTGTGCCCGAGGAAATGGGCAGTAAAGGAATTACTGATTATAAAACTTGAATGCCGTGGCTTAGTTTCCTTGATAAAGAAAAAGTAAAGAATATATAGCTCTTTAAGTCAGTGATTATAATGTAGATAGTGTGTTTTTAAACTGTTTTAAGAAAGATGCCCCATCTAGAGTGATAGCCTAATACCTATGTTTATTCTCTATTTTATAGAAACTAAAGAAAGAACTGGAGCGACTTAAAGAGGATTTGGGAACAATCACAAATAAATGTGAAGAATTTTTCAGTCAAGCAGGAACCTCTGCATCAGTTCCCACCTTACGATCTGAGCTCGGTGTGGTCATTCAGAACATGAACCAAGTCTATTCGATGTCTTCTACTTACATAGAGAAGTATGTAACCTCTGTCGTAGTATAAATTTGCTTCATACAGCTGTCATATTTATGTGTATATATAAATATATATATGCTGTTTGTTTAAAACATTCATTTTTATGAATGTAAATATTTCCTTTTTTGTCTTAATAACAATTATATTAATTATTTCCATGGAATTATTATACTTTATATTGAAAGGAAATGGGCATCAGAGGTTAGGGCATATGTATGATCTTCCCACATTTTGCCTGTGGGTTTTAGTCCCTCAGCTGTTGTAGCCTGGAGGATTGGTCTAAATAAGGATTGAAAGAAGACCAACTTACCCTGGAATCTCTTGCAGAATACCATCTGCAGGGCAGGCCGTGGATTGGAGCACACACCCTCCATCAAGAACAGTTAGCTGGATGTTAATCTCGTAGTAAATCTGTCCATGTTCCAAGACGAAGAACATGCTCTATCATGCATTGTAATGGTGCTTCAGGACTGTGTTATTGGAAGATAAACATTTACTAATAGGAGGCTATTGTTGTATTCTCTTTTTTAGACTGAAAACTGTTAATTTGGTGTTAAAAAACACTCAGGCAGCAGAAGCCCTTGTAAAACTCTATGAAACTAAACTGTGTGAAGAAGAAGCAGTTATAGCTGACAAGAATAATATTGAGAATCTAATAAGTACTTTAAAGGTATGTACCTTCCTATGGCTATATGCTAAGATCATACTCTAAAAGTATTTTTCTAGCACCTAGATTCAAACATCAACTAGTAAATAACTTAATTTGAATATATTTATATTCATTTCATATCTCTACGTAACCATAGCATAGTGTAAATAAGTCATTTCTAGTTTCAGGAGAGTTCTTCTCATTTGAAATTTGCATCTCTTTGTGGTAATAGCTTTTTATAATCAATTCATGTCAGCAAAAGGAGTTGAAGCTAAAAATTAAATTATTTTTAATGGATTCTCTTGCTGAAAGAGGTAGTTATTTTAAGATATCAAGGAGGTAAGTACAAGAGTTAATTCAGGAAAGGAAAAAGACTGGTAGTTGTATTCATCTCTATTGATATTTCCACGCATAAAGCATTGAGTATGAAATTATTGCAAAGTAGTTGTGAAAAATTATCTCATTGATTTTTAATGCATGTATTCATTTTTAAACAATGAGATTAGTAGGTGTTTAAGAAACAGGCAATGAAAAAGACTTACAGAGGTAGCAAACTTGCTTGTGGAATATATTTTGTTTTATTGATGTGCAAATTCTATTAGGCTGAACTTTATAAAACTGTTTTTTTTAGATCAAAGTGCAGTCTAATATTGACAATTTCATATGGCTCAGCCTAATATATCATTTTTGTATATGGAAGATAGTCTTTCCTTTATCTGATTTTATATCAGTCATTTCTAAATAATTTGTAAAATGAGGTAAATAAATAATGTGTTTACATAGTGAGTGGTTGACACATTTTTATAACTTTCACCAATTAATGTATTTTAGCAATGGAGATCTGAAGTAGATGAAAAGAGAGAGGTATTCCATGCATTAGAGGATGAGTTGCAAAAAGCTAAAGCCATCAGTGATGAAATGTTTAAAACATATAAAGAACGGGACCTTGATTTTGACTGGCACAAAGAAAAAGCAGATCAATTAGTTGAAAGGTGGCAAAATATTCATGTTCAGATTGATAACAGGTTAGTATCCTTTTTTGTTCAGTTTCGGCACAGGTTTAATCTTTATCCTTGTATTCTAGGTAAAATCTAAAGTTAATAGGTTTTTAAAAAACTTCCATAATACAGTTAATTTCGTATAGTTACCTTCCATATATAGTTAATTGTGTTAATTGCAAGAGCTTGACCTAATTATATTTCTTTCTGATATGGTGGACATGACAGTTAACTTCAAAATAAATATTTTCAACTCTATGTTGTTAAAACTGTTGATGTAGTCTGGCGTTTGTATAGTAAATCTACTTGCCTTTTCTAAAGGAAATTATGACCAACTTACAATATTCAGCTAACCAAGATTTAGTAAGAGCAGTGTTTGAGAAGGCTGTATGGAGCAATCTGTGCTAGACCTAAGAAGTGTGAAGCAACTGAAATGACCTGATGTTCATTTTAATTGAGGATACAAGAAAGTTGAAATCATTCACCCACTGATCGAAATAGAAAAGTAAAAGGAAATGGGATGTTTTTAGGGCTCATCTTAAAGGAGATAGAATAGTGTCCTTTCTCATTCATTTTAATGTTTATATTAATGCAAATAAAATGCTTTTATAATAGAGTGCCATTCTTGAAAAGTAAAATTATGTTCAAATATATGTTATTAAATCTCTCTAAAATATGTGTTATATAGGTTTAATGTAGTGGCTTTAAAATCACAGAAACTGAGGTATTTTTATTTAATCACAGTTCCAGGAAGTACTCTCTGAGTCCACATTGGACCCTCTGTTGAACTACGTTGTCATTATTTCAAAAGTGCACTGCCATTTGATGCAAGCTTTGGGTATTTAAGACATGCTGATTGATCATAATTATGGTTAAGTTTCCAATTTTCCTGATTTTTATTGTTAGTCAGTTAGGCCTGAAGCTAGAATAAGCAGTATCACTAAGTTGCACAAGTCCAGGAGCAGAATATTTATATTCAACCTCAGCCAGTATGGAGTGCCCTTGGAGATAGGCCTCAGGGTGCCTTAGCCTAGAATTCTTTCCACATACCCCTGTTACACCGAGTGCATTGCAGTAGGGTTATTTCGTCTCTCCTTTCTATAGCTTCCACCCTCTTGATGGATACTGTTAGAAACTATGACTCTCTTGTTTTTATTTTCTTAGGTTACGGGACTTAGAAGGCATTGGCAAATCATTGAAGTACTACAGAGATACTTATCACCCTTTAGATGATTGGATTCAGCAAGTTGAAACGACCCAGAGAAAGATTCAGGAAAATCAGCCTGAAAATAGTAAAACTCTAGCCACACAGTTGAATCAGCAGAAGGTATGTAGAAAGTTTCTTTTTTTTTTTTTTTTAAAGATTTTATTTATTT